GCCCCTATGAGATAAGCACTAAATCACACGTAGATAATCTAAGGCACCCTGATTAGGACTTGTTCCATGCCCATGTGCTTCTGCGCTCCCTCGCCTCCTCAGTCCTTACCCCCAAAAGTGACATCCTGGGATTTTAATAGATAATTCAACACAAACATCATCTCCATTCCTGGTTTTGGTAAAAAGAAAAAAAAATCCAATGAAATTGGAATGAAACAAGTCCAAGGAATTATTAATGAGAACTGATAACAAATCAAGGAAAATCATTATGTTATGGAGGCAGGCTATGCTTTTCCCATGGTTTTAATACTGGCCACAACTCAAAAATGTAAAACAAATGGAAAATTTTAAGAGAGCAACGCAACTCACTGAAGATGCTTCTCCACAACAAACTACAGTACTGGGAAGTGTCACGAAGCAACATGTACTACAGTAAAACCAACTGGACACCAAGGGCTTTGGTATGTCCTTTACCTGGGAAATGAGGGACCTTGACTGTACTTGCCCCAAATGACAGACTCACACTAAGGTTGGAAGGGACCCCTGGAGATGATCCAGTCCAGCCCCCTGCTCCAGCAGGGACACCCAGAGCACGGGGCACAGGGCGGCATCCAGGCAGGTTGGGAAGATCTCCAGAGAAGGAGACTCCACAGCCTCCCTGGGCAGCCTGTGCCAGGGCTCTGGCACCCTCACAGGRAAGAAGTTCTTCCTCACATGCAGGTGGAACTGCCTGGGTTTCAACTTATACCCATAGGGAATCCCATGGGTGGCTGGGAAGAGAGTGTCAAGGAGGGCAAAAAAATTCCATTTCTCTGTATTCAATCCACTGATCAGTCTGGGATTTTCATGGCTGGGCTCTGCTTTCTCCCACAACTGGGGCTGGAGGAGCACCAGGAAAGCACGGGCAGCCTGTGGGGCGACTTCTACACTGCAGAATACGGGAGGACACGGAGCAACTCCTGGCCCCAAAGCACAGTGGCAATGACTGTCTACAGGTCTCCAAAACRTGCCCTGAGTCTGTACCAGATGTGTCCAAGATGCCCATAACTGGCAGAGGCCAAAAACAGGCCAGGGAGCGAGCCCACAATTAGGCAGGGCTAAACCCACCAGGAATCCAGTGCGGGGGCTCCTGCTTACTTAGCACTGCAGGCAGCCCCTGCRGCTTCCCACGGAGCAGATTTTGGTTGCATTTATAAAACCTTTTCTATGAACCTGTTCTGGACACGACCTAGGAAAAATAATTAGGAAATCATGGATAGGTGACAACACCAGGACATGTGCAGAGTGCTGTGGAGCTACCTTCATATATCCAGCTCCCTAGGTTTTTTCCCAAAGTCGTGGCCAGGATTTAAAAGAAAATGAGGAATGGTACCCTTGGACCAGGAACCTATATGATTTGTTATTATTACAGTGTGTGTCTAAGGTTTCGAGGCAGTATAAATAAATAAATAAAAGTAGGTAGGTTTTGTTAAATTAGACGTATGATTGAAAAAAATCTCCATGAGGTCAAAAGAAACAAATATTTGGGCTAACTAAATATYTGATAGGCATTTCCCAAGAGCAAAGGTTTTAAAATGTACAGCATTTTTTCCATTATTATAAACCAAAATAATAATAAAAAAACATATCTGAGAAGTACATACATTTGCCATATCCTGAGTTGCAGAACATGCCTCTCCTACTGCACTTCTTGATGTAATAAATAAATTAAAAAATAGTAAGTGGTACCATCAGTGACTTTCTCACATTGCTGTAAGTGGACRAAACTCTTTTCTCTGTTCCAGTCAAGAAAATATTTGAAGCCTGGGATTCATGATTTTGGCTTTTCAAGATTTTTTTGCATGATCTCTTCAAATCTAAATCTTCATGGAGACATAACAATATGCCTACAGGTAGTTCCCTAACTTTCACCAAAATTAGAATTTGAGTTCATAGTAACTCGGGTTTCAGAGCCACTGAAATCTTTGGAAACTGGTGAAGAAAACCATTTTGGAAAAGTTCCTGCACACACAAATTGTAGTTTGCTTGGTAACGTGGTGCTTCAAAAACAAAATTGTGCACGTCCCACCGTGTAAAATCCAGACTCCTCAGATGGGAAACAGGGTCTAGTCCAAGTGGAGAAAACGCTGAGCAATTGAGASCAAATGAAGAACTACAACCCCCACCGGAGTGCTGGGATCTGTGTCCTCCCAGGAACACTGCGAGGTCTGCTCCCACCGGCAGCCCCAGCAGGCTCGACCTTGGGCATCTTTTGCTCATTAGAGCCCAAGTTGTCTCCATGTCGTAACCTCCCAGGAGATCYGCAGGATGTCACAGCGACGTTGGCGCAAGGATGCGGAGCCCGCAGGGCCCCGCGCTCTCCGGCAGGGAGCTCGTGGCCCACGGCCTGGCCGGGCGCSCCGTGGGGACAGGGCTGCCCCATGGCCAAGCTCTGTCCTACAGTGGCTGTGACCAGGACACCCGCCTCCACCTCAGGAGGTCGCTCGGGGACCTTTCCCTGGTTCCTCTCTCTAGAGGAATCTCAGCGGTGGCCAGTGACAGGACAAGGGGCAATGGGTACAAGGTGAAACCCAGGCAGTTCCATCTCCATGTGAGGAGGAACTTCTTCCCTGTGAGGGTGCCAGAGCCCTGGCACAGGCTGCCCAGGGAGSCTGTGGAGTCTCCTTCTCTGGAGATCTTCCCAAGCCGCCTGGATGCCGCCCTGTGCCCCGTGCTCTGGGTGTCCCTGYTGGAGCAGGGGGTTGGACTAGATGATCTCTAGGGGTCCCTTCCAACCTCARCCAACTCAGAGGGAGCCTGAGGAGGCCTCGAGGTCTTGCGATCCTCAAGCTGGTGCTCTGCTTTGCGCCGATCCACAGCGATCCTCGAGCAGACGAGCACGCCTGGCTACTTATTTGTATCTGTGCTGCAGATATGCAACAATCTGAATGTCTAGACTGTAATTTACATAAATACATTTTAAACCAAAACATTTTGAAATTATTTAGTTCCTGCTTCTGTGCTTAAGTGCTTCGCTGGATTGGGGCCAGACGGCAGGATCAAACCAAGGATGCACACATCAAACCTACAGAGAAATGCACTGTTTGCAAAGACTGCATTTGGTTGAGCAAATTCAGAAGAATGAAACCAACTATGAAGAGAAATTAGGCTGGCTGAAAATTAATAAAGCGCAGCAGGAATTATTCGATACATCCATATTTGTTGCTTAAATGGCTCTAGGGCTAAGTCTTGCTGAAAGAAGATACTTCAAGACCCAGGGGTCAATTGCTTTTGGAGACAAATTGACCTGCAGGAATACACTTGTCTAATTTGGTTCTTGCAGTGGGGCAAGTCTAGGGAAACACATAACCGAAAACCCCATGTAGATTCCAGTGAGTGGATATCAGAGGTCAAGCTTAAGGTTACCATAATTTTACATACATACACTAAAAGATTAATAACTTTCCAAGCTACTGGGCTACCTTGTTAAACACAAAGACCTACAGATAATATCTCAGAAAGCAACATTTTATGGGCTTATTCCAAGTTCTGCTGGATGAATAGCATCCATCCAGCTCACTGCTTGTGGCTGTGGTTAGTCGGGTTGTATTTCACTCCATTTGGTCACGTTCCAGCAGTGCAAGCAACACTATTGCTGGCCCAGATTCCAGCAAAAAGCACCTCCAGAGCTGATCAGCATTAATTTTGAAACTGAATTTTTGTGCCAGTTCAAATATTACATTTTTGGTTAACTGGTCTTACTATTATTAGTTATACTCGGAGACTTGCATAATGCTAGGTAATTATTGTGCCTTGAAACAGGGCCCTCAAGATACCACCACTCATACCAAACATTACACTTTTCTCCTAAAGAGATTTTGTATGTTCACACATTAGTATTCTTTCCTGTTCAGCATTAGGGATTATTGTATTTTATAAAACGACAGCAAGATGGATCAGGATTAGAACACAAAACTATGCTTTAGAGTGCAAAATTATTTTAGACAGACAACCTCAAGATGCCATTAACCTTCCAAGAAATCTACAGAAATTAAGTCCAGCATTTATCTGGATAAGTAGTGAAAATTTCACTCTCGGGTCACCCTTGAAAAATAAAATATTTATTTCATAAAATTGCAGTCTTTTAAATTCAGTCATAGGAAAAGCTACATTTTCATTTGGGAAATTTACTGGAGTGAAAATACAAAAAAAAAAAGCACATATTGTGAACTAACAACAAAAATCCGATTATGATATCAGCGATAAATATAATATTGTGTGTAGAAAAATACTTGAAATCATTCCAAAGTTCTGAAATTTTCTTTCAYTCATTTCCCAGCTCAGTAGATAGATATTAATAAAAGGTCTCTTAACACATATGTAAATCCTGACAGCATTACCTTCAGAAAATTGACAAGACAGAGAGATCATTTTGTGCCCAGCTGTTTTCAAACACACCATTGATCAGAAGGAAAGACTCTACCCCTACGTTATTCTGTTTAGCCATCCAAGTTTGGGATATTTTCTACTTGCTCCTTTTCGAATGGTGAAGCTAATAATATTTTATTAAAGGAACAGCATGGGAAATATGCCGGCCTGTGGTTTTCCACCTGCATAGGCACAGAAGTGGCAAACAATCAAAAAGTCTGATGATGAWTCAAACATTATGAAGACAGTAACTTCACTTTCTGTAACGGCAATTCTTTACTATTTAAAATTTTTTCTCAAGAAACCATATCTCCTCACAGCCACTAGGTGAAGAAATATTGGGAAAGGGGTAAATTTCTGACTAAAATAAGTGACTTCTCTTCAAACGAATGACATTTGAAAAATATTAAGCCGTCCAAGCGACTCTGGAGGAGCTCACCTCACTGCTGTGCTGGATGCATCAAAACAGAGGGGCAAGAYCAGGGGAGCAGAACATCATTTTAACAACATAGCTTAGAGCCCACGCATCCATTTGTGCCTCCAAAAGCACGTAGCTACTGCAGCTCTATAACATCAAGCGCTGTTGCATTTACCTGTATGGTCCTCTGAGTGCCATCAACGGTGACAGACAGCAAGGGTGAAGCCAGGTTCCACTCGCCGGTCACGTTCAGTTTCATCCCATCAACTTCCACCTGTTGTGACACCAAACAAGGCTGTTACTCCGCAGACAGACAGAAAGCCGGGCTCAAGTTCATTGCTGCATACAAAGCAGCAACCATCTCAAAACAGATGGCTCCCAAACAACCTGTCATGTTTACTGCTTCTGCCATAAAAGACAGGGTCCAACAACAGGGGCCTGCAGCTCTCTCTGGGGAGAGGTGAAGGACCCGGGAACAGCTGCCTCCGAGCAGCAAGGTTTCAAGTGATTTCTAGCAAGTAACAAACAGCCATCCAACTTTTAAACCTATCTGGACATGCTACATTTACTGCAATTAGACAAGTAATGCATATAAATTCCAGTGACACCTTGCAACCCACACAACAGGCCTTGCATATAATATGCTCTCCAAGGACCAAGGAAGAACTTTTCCGAGGCTTCTAATGAAGGGCTTTGCATTGTTATCTTAATTAATAGGAGGCAGTAATTAATTCTTCGGTGTTTTATCTCAAAGTCTAGAAAAACTTTGCAAATTCTGTCATWTTTTTTTTTTTGTCTCATTCTACACCTGATCAGAGGAATGCAATTTCTGACTTGAATGTCAACATGGTTATCTGAAAGATTTTATTTTTTTAATAAATCATCCCATAATCTTTATATAAAATATTTTTATATGAAGAGCAAAATATCTGAATTCTGAAAAACGGCAGGCACATTTGTCTCTCACAAAGAAGGTGCAATGACACTTCTGGTATCCTTCCACTGTACAATACTGCCTGTTAAAAAGTACTCACAAACACACTTGGTGCCTCAGAAAAGAGCCAGATTAAGAACAAAATTATTACGAAGCATAGAATGACACGGTTATGGATTAATGTTCACAGAGTGCTTTTAATATTCACCATGATATCTAAAGGTAGGCAAATATGATTTCAATCATACATTTTACTACAAACAGAAGAAAAAGACTGGCTGGCAGATTTCCTCAAATCTCCAAAATATTTTCCATCAATAAACTGCAGACATTATTGATAATATCACCAATATTGCACAAATCCTCAGGAAACCAGGAGGAAAGCACTGTACTTAGAGTAAGAGCCGAACCTACTTTGAGCAATATGAAATGGATAGAGGTTGCTTCTTTAGGTCACAAAGACTAACAATTGTTTCATTTAGCAGTAAGGACTTGCAACAGTAACCTTAATAATCATAGAAGTCTGTAATAGACGAGTGCTGAGGAGCAATATATAATTTGATAGCTTAATTTCAGTCAAGGGGAAAAAAAATCCCTGACTTAGAAAAGCTCAAATTTTATAGACAGTTCACTTCAGAGCATAAAATCTGCCTTTAAGTGATCCAGTCTACTCCATCCCCATAGATTCCGCTGTAAATGAAGCTACACGTGCCGACCACGAGGCAGAGCAAGCCCTTCACACTGGGTCACCATCCACCAGCAGCTCCAGCCTGACATGGGCCAAGCTCAGTCAGGAAGGATCCTCTTTATTTAGACCAGTAGAAACACCTGGGAAAGACTTTCCCTAAAACCAAGTGCATGAAGGGGGAATGTTGGGAGGAAGGGGCCAAGCTCTTCTCAGTGGTGGCCAGTGACAGGACAAGGGCAAATGGGTATAAGTAGAAACCCAGGCAGTTCCATCTTCCTGTGAGGAAGAGCTTCTTCCTTGTGAGGGTGCCAGAGCCGTGGCACAGGCTGCCCAGGGAGCCTGTGGAGTCTCCTTCGCTGGAGATCTTCCCAACCCGCCTGGATGCCGCCCTGTGCCCCGTGCTCTGGGTGTCCCTGCTGGAGCAGGGGGTTGGACTAGATGATCTCGAGAGGTCCCTTCCTACCTTAAGGATCCTGTGATTCTATGATTCACCATGGCATACACAGCTTGGGAAGACTTGGTTATGAAGCCACGAGGGGATCGCAGGGAGGGCGGCTGAGGCTGCTCCAACGGGTAGGACGGTAAAGCGAGGAGCCCACCAGAGAAAAGGAAGCAGGGACTGGAGACAGGATATTTATTCACTCGGGGCACACGTTACTTTCATTGAGAACAAGGAACTCTAAGAGGGAGAGCGGGGAACAAAAAGAAACAGGGGGGGAAGGGGCAGAAGCAGAAATCACAGCCAATACTGACAGCCTGATGGACCACGAGGAGAGAGAGAAAGCAACGCTTCCCTCCACGGAGCAGCTCAGCAGCCAAGAGCCGAGCAAAGCAGCTCATGGGGACAGGAAAGGATGCTGGACATTCACAGAACTTCTGTGTTTGTTTTCAGTTCTTCTCCAGCAATGCACGTCCCAACAAAACTCGGTTGTCTTTGGATTAGACTTTTTTTTYCATCTATTTCCCGTTCAGTTCRTTTCTGTGATCACGAGACACCCATSAAGCAACTCACCACTCAAAGGATGCTGGCACTTGAGTTGTATGGAAAATATCCCATGGGAATCCCTCACGCAGCGGCCCACCCCATGCTCCACCTCACTGCTGAGGAGCCCCAGTAAAGCCCCAGCTCCTCATTTCCAGCACGTGCTCGTGCTGTGTGTTTGAACTGCCAGCGTTGGTGAGGCTGGGTTTTATTGCCTTAAAGAAAAAAATAAAGATTTGTTCCTGTTTTGTTGAATTGGTTTGTTCCTGCGTAAGGACACAAAGAAGCCACGTTTCTCCTTCCCCATTATTTCCGATTCAAAGGCCGTTGTAAGCAAGCGAGGCCTCACATGGAGGAATGACAGGTCGAGGCCGGGGCGTGAGCTCAGCAGCCGTCCCTCCCGTCCCATCCCGTCCCATCCCGTCGGAGCGGAGCGGAGCGGGGCTGGCAGGCGCCCGCGCGGCGCCTCCGGCAGCCCCTCCGCCTCTCGYGGAGCCGCAGGACAGGCCCGGCCGGCTCGCGCTGCCAAGGGATGTACAGCGTAATCTGTATTCCGTCTCCTTTGGAGAACATCATTTGGCATTTCATAGACRTGGCAGGCAATTACAGGAGGCAGCGCAAGGCTGAGTGTTAGAGCCCTGCTAATTTACTAACGCAGAGCCTCGGCTACATCTGGCGCGTGTCATTCCTCCTCTSCTGAAGAGGAAGGTGGCTTTGCAGGAGACGGGAGGGCAGATAGAGCAGTTGCTTCCTGCCTGATGCCTCCGAGCAGCCCCGTGCCTGCACTTCCCAATGCCTTGGGCTGCTCGGCTTCACACTGCTGGCTCCATTCCCCAGTTCCAGCTTTGTCTCCCCACCCAGGGGGTAACTCCATGGTTTCAGGCCCCTGGTTCAGCTCCTGGTGCAGAGCTCTGGCCCTGCTACTGGGTTACACCACCACAGCCCTCACCCCTTACACCCCTGGATTCTGCTATTTAAAAGCACTGGCTTTTAAATAGGGAACTGCCTGATGAGCTGAACCGAATGAGAAGTCACCCTGTGCAGACCTGCCCTGCTGAAAGCTCTTACCAAGGCAGCTGGGTACGAAGACATGAAACACCTCCAGCACTCAAGCAGGGAAACAAACCTCTCTGCTGCGAGGAGGCTTGGCTGAATACCCAGTGTCATGGAGAATTCAAAGAACAAACCCTCCCACTGGTGTTACCTTAGCCCCACTGCAAAGCTAGGGCCCAACTTGTGGGCAGCAAGGATGCTACAAACAGCAACCTCTAAGCCATGCTGTGGGCAAGGGACCTGGCATCACTGTGTGCTCCGCAGGCAGCACAGACGTTTGGATACTCTCCTCWAGGCTACCCAAAGAAGCCCCCTTGGAGCAGCAATTGCTCCGGATAAAAACCTGCTCATCTACAAYACTGTTAATGATCTATTGTACCAAAGCAAGCAAGCAGATTCCCTCCACTTTCTGAATCTGGTAAGGGGGAAGTACTGCTTCCTGCACAGAAAGGGAAGCACAGAAAGAGAAGGTAGAGTAGCTTTAGTAAGAAGTAATAGTCTGGAGTGATCTCGGACTAATCCAAATAAAGTTGGGCAACGCGGTGTTTAGTTCTTGCTCAGTTTTCACCAAAATCTCAGAATTTCATCTGAACTCCTGCCCAGCTAATGGAGCAGCACACGGTTCAGAAGAGAGGAATGGCAACCCTGTTCTTTTGCCAGCGTTGTTGTCCCCTGCCCTTCCCAGCCCCCCGTGCCCCAAGGAGCGGGACGGAAGTCTGCACATGGTCGGCCTTTCTCAGGCTTCCTTTAGAACAATGACACATAAAACTCCAGGCATATTACGGCAAAAAGGACTTTGCTAATCCTTGTTTTAAAGGGCTCTTTCCCAACCAGCAGGTGAGCTCAAACGCTGTCTTTCATCTCCGAATATTTCTGAGGCTAATAAATACAACAGGCTCCATGGTCAGGGAAAGGAGCAGCCACCTGGGCCCGCAGTATTCCCGGTCTGCAGGGCTCTCCTGCATCGTCGGCGCTCCCTGGGCAATTTTCTTCACCTCATCTGCACTGTCTGGAAGTACCTTGAAGAAAAATAAGGAATCGCATCCTCTACACGAGGAAATGGTATCAACCAAATACCACCTCACACGTAGCCACATGAAGATTCCCCACACGGGGGGGATCTTACTGTTTAGGCTCCTTCTCCCGATCTTGAACGGGACTCGCTGGCGACCTGGGCTCTGCTTTCCCATAAAATGCTGGGCATTTCCCAGGATCCCAAAGTGAAACAGGTGATGTGACACATTTGCAGCTGACACAAAATAAATAAATACACCTCAGTATAGTCCTGCTGCCCATGGGGACCTAGACAGGCTGCAGTAACGGGACAACATACAGTGTGTGACATTACCAGCCTGTTAGGTGCTCTACTTGAGAAGGAAGAATCCCTGTCTGGGAACAAAGAAGGGCAGCAGCCCCCTGGGCTGTATTAGCAGGAGCACCCATCTCGTCCTATCTGCACGTGTTAGCATCCAGGCACTGCGTCCACTTTCCAGACTCCCCAACACAGGCAAGCTATCGGCAAAGGGCAGTGGGTCTGTGGGGAGGCCACCAAGGTGGCCAAGGGGGCTGGAGAAGTTGCTGTAGGAGGGGAGCCTGATGGAACCAGGGCTTCCTCAG